AGGGCTGGACAGGGCGGACAGGGATGGACAGGGCTGGACAGGGCTGGACAGGGCGGACAGGGATGGACAGGGCTGGACAGGGATGGACAGGGTCTGTCCTGCCGGCCCAGGGGCCGCTCCTCCGCAGTGACTGAGGCCAGGGAACCGGGCTGGACAGGGATGGACAGGGCTGGACAGGGATGGACAGGGATGGACAGGGATGGACAGGGTCTGTCCTGCCGGCCCAGGGGCCGCTCCCCTGCAGTGACTGAGGGCGGGGAACCGGGCTGGACAGGGCCCTGGCTCGGGCACAGCTGCTCCCAGCCCGTGAGCCCAGCCCTGCGTGCTGTCCGTGCTCTGCTGTGCGGGGTGCTTGGATGGCTTCAGTCCATTGATGTCTCCGGAAGGCTCCAGCCCTGCTCTGGGCTGGGTCTCCCAGGGTTCAGGAGGGGCTCTGGCATGGTCCAGGCACAGCTTCTCTGCACCTCTGGAGCTCCTGCCCATGCCGGACCTTGGTGGCATTTCCAAGCGTGTGTTCTGTGAGCACTTCARTGCCTGGCAGAGCCTGCACACCGAGATGACTGAGCAAATTCATCAAAGGCCACAGCCCCAAGCTCTGAGGTACTGGGTTTGTCAGTTCCTTGAACAGTCCTTCCTCTTTCAAGCTTTCCAGAGGTGCCAGCCCAGGGAGTTCAGCACTGTCTCTGCCTGTTCCTGCTGCAGTGAGGAAGAGGGATCAGACCTGGAGAGATTTCTTCTGTGTGTGCTCCAGTCTGGTCCTGCTGTCTGCATTCTGCTCTGCAGCTCAAGGACTAAAGCTCAGAAAGGCACTTTGAGCCCAAACTTGGCTTGACGGCTTCCGTGCCAAACTTGTGACTTACACGCCAGATTAATTCTTACCTCCCAAATGTTTTCATGTTAAGAAGGAAAAGAAATGTTCTGTCAATGTCCAATAAATGATTTCAGAAGCAGGTTTTCCACTGGAGGGAATCAGAAATAAAATACAGCAGCCCAGGATTTCAGCTGGGAGCATTTAACTCCTTCAGAGCTGGATGGCTCCACACCCATCAGAGTCATCTCTTACATTTAGCACCTCCTGGTCACAAATGTCACCTGGGTGACAACACAGGTCCCTTTGGGGCAGAACAGCTCCTGTTYACCTCCAGAGGTGGAAGCATTTGTCATTTGCCAAAGGAGAACCTTCAGCCAGATGCTGGAGTCTGGCACAGACTCTGAGTGCTTCAGAAATCCTCACTCCCAGGGAGCTGTGAGTTACCCTGCTTCAGGAGAGGTGTTCTATCCTGCTTCGGGGAAGGTGTTCTATCCTGCTCCCAGGATAACTGTGCTGTGCTCTCCTGCTCCCAGGGAGCTGTGTGTTGGCTCTCCTGCTCCCAGGAAGCTCTGGTCCCACAGAGGTGCCCTATGTCATGTGTGAGGAGTGAGCAGGGCCTGTACAAAAGGAGCATCCCATGGTCTGTGTGTTCCTTTCTCTGGCTCAAATTGTCTGTCAGACTTTGCTGGGTGGTTTTGCACATCCAGCCGAAATCTTTCTTCCTACAACTTAAAGCCATTATTCCTGCTCTTGTCCCCTGGGACCAGGAGAACTCATTCTGCCTTTCTCCTCTCTGTTCTCCTGCGCTTGAAGGCTGCATTAATCTTTATAACCTCTCTGGAAAACAGAGCATTTCCACTATCTCTAAAACCAGGATGGGAGCAGAGGAGATGAGGGTGGGGTTTCTTCCTTTAGTTCAGATATCCAGAAGTTCAGAATCTAAACTGGTCCTGTGATGCTCTCTGTGGTGTCTGGCACAGACTTTGCCAGCTGGGAATGACCTGAAAGGACCTCCCTGTGCCACCCCTCAATCCCATCCCTTCAGCGCTGTCATTCTGAGCTTCCCCACCACAGAAGTTTTTAATGAGGTGCAGGATGAGGGGAAGGGAGGGTGATGCTTCCCCTTGGAATTTCTGTAGCCCCCAGGCACCCAACGAGAGGATAGAAGGGGCCATTTGAGGAGTTGTTACAGCCAGTATCACTTGTGCTGCTCAGCACCTGAGATACATCCTCACCTGAAATGTTGATTTAGAGGCAAGACTCAGGAAAAAAAGGCTGTTTTCAAGTTTACTCATAATGCTGACTTTCATGTGCAAAGCAAGTGCCTTACTTAATCAGAGCAAACAGCTTTATTGGGTGYTTCCTTTTGATTACTTTTTAACACTAAGGCTGGGATTTGTTTGAAATACGGCAGCAGAATAAGACTGTAACAAGGAGRAGGTAAACTCTGTCAGTCTAGAGAGAGGGAGATGGAATCAATTTTTCCAGTGTAAAAAAACTAACTTAGATTGATAATAATACATGCTGTAAATTCAAGCTGTTAATTGGAAAAAATAAGAACATAAACATTTCAGGGGCTTTTAGTGTTTGTGTCAGTCTGGCACTTTGAGAACAAACAAGCTCTGATTATTTTTCATTTGAAGTGATGTTTCATTTCAAATCCTCCTTCAATTGGACTTATTAGCTGAAAATTGCTCAAAAATTGCCAGAATCATAATAGATTTATCCAGTTCATTTCTAAAGGGTTTTAAAATTATTTTTTAAATTAATTAATGGTATGACGATAATGTTTTTTTCTCATTTCCTTGAGTCACATGCCAACCATCCAATTGCTTTTTTGCTTAGCTCAGTGCAGGTGTGGGGTGAAAGGGAATTTCAGCCCTTGGGAAAGGCACAATAGGTGAACTGAGGTTGGTTCCCTGAGCCTATAGAGAACTGCCAGGTATGGGCTTAAAAAAATCTTACAACCCTCTCTGAAAACCCCAGCTTTTTGCCATGTGCTCTTTGTAGAACAAAGTAAAACCAAACGGAAATGAAAATAAAACTAAAACAGAAAAAAAATGGGGAGGTGGAGGAAGACAAAAATGGGGATGTGGAGAGAGAGAGGGAATTCTCTGAGTCGGAATACTTTGGTTTGAGATGGTTTATTCTGATTAGGGGTTTGCATAAAATAAAAAAGGAGGTTATAAAAAAAAATGAAAACACTTATTTGACATCAGAGTAAACCAAAACAATTCAAGTTTTGCTGTACCAATGGCAAACAGAATATTCTTCCTCCTAAAYCTCCTTTCTAAAGTAACAAGACTGTGCAGTTAGGTCCCAAATCCCAATAAATCAGACAAAAGCAAATTGAGGGCCTTTGCCAAGGAAAGCTGTGCAGGATAGCAGCCCTGAGCCCAGACAGCTGCCATGGATTTCTCTGCTGGCACAGAAGAGGCTCCACAGCCCAGGCCTGCTGGCTTTCCCTGTGGAATGTTCATTCTCGAGCTGTGCCTGTCCCGTGCTGTCCCTGGCATGGGAAGATGGGCAGGGTTTGGTGGTGTTGTGGGATGTTCCCACTCCATTTGCTCCCTCCTGGGAGCTTTGCTGCCTCGAGCCTCAGCCAAATGTGGTTTAGCAGGGCAGCCTCCAAACCCACTGAATGGGCCCTGTTATCCCACTGAGCTCCTTCCCTGGGAAGGCTGCCAAGGAGCCAGGATCAGGGTAGTGCATTGCAGAGGCTGAGTGACAGTCCTGGGCCCCACCAAACACAGCTGTGTCTGGTGCTCCCAAACTGGCAGCCAGCATTCAGTAGCAGGAGTTTCTGGYGCTTTTTGGCTCAATTCCCAGATCTGGTCCAGCTAATCAATCCAAAGACAGGATTAGCCATGGCAGGACATCTTTTCTGTCATGAGCTTGATGTAGTTCTAAAATAATCAGGATGTTAAGCATTTTCTGTGCAGATTCATTTCAATCTTTCTCTTCTAAACCMAGGCACAGAACACTTGGATGACGCCTCCCTTTCTCTGAGAATGTGAAATCTCTGCAGCACCTTCTAGCAAATGTAGTCCTTGGCCTGGATCCATGGGAAGGTTGGCCTGGCTGCTTGGATCCATAAGAAGGAACTCCAGAAGGAAAACAGACTCCTGAAATCTGCATCTTCCGGGGTGGTTGTGATGGGCTTCAGGAGCTGCATCAACTTCTCCAATCCTGCACTGACACAGGCTGGGAAATATCAGTTCTCTGCAGCAGAATTATTAAATACTGGGAAGGAATCCTGYCCTGTGAGGGAGGTGATTCTCTGGCACAGGGTGCCCAGAGCAGCTGTGGCTGCCCCTGTATCCCTGGGAGTGTCCAGGGCCAGGCTGGACAGGGCTTGGAGCASCCTGGGACAGTGGGAAATGTSCCTGCCCATGTCAGGGATGGCACTGGATGGTTTTTAACGTCCCTTCCCACCCAGGCCATTCCACGATTCTATGATCATGGGGCAACTGAACTGTACTCCTGATTTCCACAGCTTTCTAAAATATTAGCTGATAATAACAAATATTCTCATTTCCCTCCCCATTCTGGGGCTTGTCCTCTTAGCTTCTGCACCTGGCAGTTGGAGGAACATTCCCAAAGACACAGGACAGGCAGACTCCTGGTCCTAAAGAGGCACCGTGCTCCCAGGAAAGGGAGCTTTTAGTGAAGTCCTTGTAGTTGTCATCAGTGTTCATTCACTGCCAGTATCATTTGTGAAACACTGGGAGAAATATTCTGTGTCTCCAACCCATTCTGTACCAAAGTGGGAGAGCCCAAATCTCCCTTTCAGCACATTCCACCCATGTCAGAGCAGGACTGGGAGCAAATGCCACCCTGACCCCTCTCCAGAGGAGGCTCAGCCACCTTCACCTGTTCTGTCAGATCCCAAATTCTGCTCAGCCCAGACAGGAATGTGGTGCTACAGAGTGAGGGGCAGCCAGAGCTGCAGAACCTGAACCAGAACCACCTGCAACCATCACCCAAACCTTGCAGCCATCAGCCAGACATCCCCACCTAGAGCCACAGAGGAGATGTCTTCTGGGAGAGCAGTTTCTCCTCCTCACACTGCCCCTGAGCGCACCTCACACCACACCTGCACATCAACCTGAGATACAATAACAGATCCTGCCACAACCACCGGAATGAGGAACCAAGGGATGCATTCAGGAGCATTTCAGGGTCTGCACTTTGGTGCCCACCTGGGCCAGAAAGAAATGGTGCTGAGGAGCTGTGTTTGGAAAAAGTTTTCAAGTGATGATGTGAGTCTGTCACACAGCAGTTGGATCTTCTGGAAGCTGTTGGAGGAGGCCTTGCTCTTGACACTGCATTTTTAAGTCATTTCTTAACCCAGAGATGACAGCTCTTTCAGGGAACAGGGAAAGATGACATCCAAAGGCTGTCTGAAATCCAGACTTGGGTCTAATGTTCTCTCTTCAAAGCACAGACTTGCCAACTGCTTCTTCACAAGAGCCTGAGGAATTCATGCAGTGGGTGCTCTGCTCCTCCTGCAATCAATCCTGAACTACTGTCCTCTTCTCACAGCAGTGCCTGAGCCGGTGGCACCTCCCGGGCAATGCCTGTGCTGGAGACAGCCACAGTGACATCCCTCTCTGGGATGGCTGATCCAAGCTTGGGGTGGTGCCAAGTGTCGGGTTCAGGGCTYCTCCTCCTCCCTGCATGGCCACACCGCACACCTGTGGTGTTTGGGGCTTCACGTTACTCCCATCCAGTGGCAGCTGTGGAGAAAGGAAACACATGACACTGACAGAATCCTTGCTCCTCCCATGCCAACATCCCGAACTGGTTTGGGGAGCATCCAAGTCATGATCTCCTCTCCCTTTGGCATAAAGAGCTTTGCACTTTTCCCTTCCATCTCTTCTACCTCACCTCCCCCTTTCCCTCCWCAGTAAACCACATTCAAAAGGTTCAGGTTGATGTTGCTGATGCTTTGACACCATCCCAGGGTTCTAGTCTGACAGACGGGGGACAGACTATGCCCTGAGGTGTCACTGGGAGAGTGGCAAACACAGCAGGACCTGACTCCTCCTGGGGCACACGTTACCCCACACACCCCGCAGCTCTTCATGGGTGGCAGGACCACACTGATGGGAATGCTGAGCCTCCCAAAGGAGCAGCAGAGCTTGGCTGTCTCCTGCCTCTGACATTTGATGAGGGGGTGTTTGGGCGCTCCTGCCAGAAGCAAAAGGACCTGTTAAAAAGAGTAAGTCTGGCTGTGAATGGGCCTTTCACAGCATGRTCACCCTGCTGAGAATGGAGCTTAGGAGAGGGGACTCCTCATCAACACACTCAGGAAGGAGGGGGACTCCTACTGTRAACCCCAAAGGGATAAAACTTATTCCCAATCAGTTCTTTGCCCCAAACAAACACGACAAAGTAGCAACACTCTAACAGTGTRTACTACAAGGACAATCCAGACTGGGTTCCTTCCATGACAAGGTCGTGCAAATGAAGCTCAGAGTCCCCCTGTCCCCTCTGAACAACCACAATGGGTGCARTTCCTTTCAAAAGGATGGGACAGCCCAAGTGTGACAGCCCTGGCWGGTTTCCCAGGGCATGCGCTGTGGWCACTGCAGTGTCAGGGGATGGGAGAGCAGGGAGAACTCTCGGGTCCTCAGGGTTTGAAGGGAATCAAAACAGGGCTGGAAAGTGTCAAGGTTTTCCTCCAGCTCTTCAGCTCCAGAGGATGGAAACTGCCTCYCTGTTCTTCCTGGCAGGAATGGAAACAGCCTGCCTGTTCTTCCTGGCAGGCTGCTAACATCTTCCAGCTGGTCCTCCTGTGGCAGAGGTCCCAAGGAAGGTGAAAAATTCCCAAATAGGCCCAGAGCCCCCAGGCATCCTTATCTGCTGGGGATTGGCAATCCAGATGTTGCTGAGGTTGTGGACAGTGGGCTGGAGGAGGAGGGAATGCTGTCAGATYATCAGGAGCTGTCGTTGCTGAGTCTGGTTGCAGGAACATCATGGCACATCCATCAGCTCAGCTGGAAAGACGGCATTAGTGGCAAGTTGGATGGATCCTGGGCTGCTGAGTTGGATGTGGGCCAACTGATCCCACAGGATGGATTGGTCATGGAATAAAGGACAGAAGTTGGTTTAAGTGTGGTATTTGCACCTTCTCTTCTCTTTAGTAACTGGGGTATGAACCCCTTTGCCCTCCCCAGCCAAGCTTTCTTTGGACAGAGCCAAATCTGACCCAAAATCTAGTTGTGATCAGTGCCAAGGGTGGGATCTTAACACCTTCTCAAGCTCCTTCTCCAGGAGGACTTCTCCTCAGCAGTCTCAGGGATTGGTCCCCAGAACTGGCACAGGAGGGCTCTGGCCAGTCCAGCTGCACGATCCACGGCCACTGTGAAGCTCCCCAGGCTGGGACACTGTGGCAACCTGCCCCAGCTTTGARCTGCAATGAAAGCCCCAGGGCTCAGCTCCTCTGTGCACCTCATGTCGCTCAGGGAGGAATGGAGGTGGGAGCTGCACTGCTTCATTCCCATGGGATGCAGAGGCCAAGGGCTTCCTGCCTGAGATTCCATTCCCATGGGCACATCTCTGATGTTCAGTTTGTGCTCTCAGATCTTGCAGGATCTGTGGGCTCTGGGCCAACTCTTCTTGGTGATGATCTGACGTCGCTGCCGCTGCTCTGCCATTGCTGCTCCAACCCAGCAAAGGAGAGATTTTCCCATAAAACTTTGTAACGGCCCCACTCCCCRGACTTGGATTCTTCCTGTGTGCCARCTGTGAAGGAAATGTTTCTATTTTTAGCTTGGAGGTGTTGGCAAGAAATGCAGAGGATGGATCTGCATTACAAGCAGGCAGGTAACAGCACAGCCCCGAATCCCAGGACATCATTCCATTCTGCCTGTTCCAAGGACTACAAACCTTGGTGCTCAGCCTTGTGCCCTGCTCCCCGGGTAGCCACACTCCCAAACAAAGGTGAGGTGGAGGAACAGGGAAGGGTTTTCATAAAGAAGTGCTTGAGGGATTGAGAAAGCTTTACGTGGGCTGTGTTCAATAATGTCTGTGTTTAAAGGMTGCAGTGCTCATTCTACCAATTTCCTCCTTTCTTCCCTTCCGAATTTTGTTTTCAAACAGGGGAAAATAATTTCAAGGTCAGAGACAGGTTATGCCTTCAGATTTTTGCAATGCATCGCTTCAGGCTGGGTTAGAATTCCCGTAATGATCAGAGCCTGTCTTGCCTGGGATTCATTTCTTGTGCTATCTTTATCTSATCCCTTCCTGAATCCTGTTGGATGGTGCAGCCATCGTGGCACACCAAGGGCAGGAGACACTTTTCCCTGTTTTTTTTTTGACCTACACTAGTGGTTTGTTGTCTCTTTTTGTCTTCCTGGCTTTGTTTTCTTGTGACTTCTGGTTGACAGAARCAAGCTGCTCAGCTCTGCAGTCAGGATATTGGGGGAAATGCAGCATTCCTATTCCAGAGGAAGCTGGGGCATTCTCTGAGTCTGAGAAACACCCATTCCTTTTTTTCCTCTACACTCACTTTGTGCCATCTGTGTCTTTTTTCAAGTTATKACCCCGAAATGGGGCAAAAGCACCTCCCCACCCCTTTTGTGGGATGCAAACCCAAACACTTGGTTGTATTTGGGAAAGAAAGACCCATGGGATGGAACTGTGGTAAATTGCCTGTACATGTGGCACAAACACATTGCACCTTTCTCCGTGCTATTGCAGCTCCAGCCCAACCATCAGCTTCCAAGCCCAAACCCCTTTGCTGAGGGAGCCACAGTCTGGGGAGATGCCTTAGGAGAGGAAAAAGATGCTGAACACTAATACATAATGGGAAGTGATTATCCTGCGTGGGCCAGCAGGGAGGGAGAGCTACAAATCCAATGAGCAGGTACAATTGGCATCCCCAGAGCCAAGCACAGGGAAGAGCCTAAAACGGAATTAATGACTGTGGGAAGGCCRGGCTCTCGAGGGAGAACCTGGGGTACACTTTGGCTTCTCTCTAGATTTCAGGCCATGACTTAATAGCCTTCATCTCCACTGTGATGTTTTTAACAGGAGCAGATGACCCTACATTTGCAAGGACAGAATGTAGCACAGATAAATTGTTCTGGAATTAGCTAAGCCTTGAAGAGAAATCACTGTATAATAAGATGTCATGGACATTCACTGCATGGGACAGCTGCCAGGCCCTGCTCTAGGTCCAGCTTTCACCCCACTATCTTTGTAGGGACACAGATGTCTGGTTGCAGGTGGTTCATAGGCTGAAGGGCTGTCCTCACTTTCGCATTAATATTAAGATAATATTTTCCTCCCAYAACCTTTGGCTTTGGCCAGTTTGTCCCAACAGCCCCCAGCTGTGTGTGAAGGAGCTGCTGGGTCAGAAACGGTCCATTTATGAACAAACGGGCCCTGCCAGGGTCATTGTGGTCACTGCTCTGGAGTTGTCATTACTGCAGATTCACGGCTGCTGCCAGGACTGGGTGTTGCCAGAGGGGCAGGCAGCCTGGGAAGGTTGAGGAAAATCCATTCCTTGTCCATGTGACCAGAATGTCTCTGTGTACAAGTGCATTCATATTCTTCTGTCCCTATTTGAGATGCTTCACCTTGATCTGCCTTTGCCTTTTCCCTCTCAGTCCCAACTGGTGTCCTCCACTAGTCCCCAGGCCAGTGATAACCCCTGGCCCTCCCTCCTCTCTTTTCTTGCTGTGTTCTCATCCCACGGCAGAAACAACATGCACACAAGCACAGGCAGCAGACACAAAGAGGATGATGCTATTTCTGCAGGCAGCAGGAGCCAGCAGGGCTGGGCTGGGAGTGTGCTAGTATATCTTGGTCAYTGTATAGCTGCTGTTACCTCTGGTGTTGAATATTTTCACATCCTGTAGTACAGGAGGGAATTCATCCCTGGCTCTGTGTTACCACATCAATTCACAGTGTGTGCACAGCCTGCCCTGCAGATCCTCGCACTTGGCATCCCGGGGTCAAAGCAGTCAGTCAATAAAACACAGGAGAGCCAAGATACCAGATTCCCCTAAATGATGCATCTGTGCTGTGCTCCAAAACAAAAGCAGGAAGTTGCCTTGTTAAACTCAGCTTCCCTGGAACTCAGTGCAATGTCTTTATCCATAATTCTTTCTCAACCATCAGGAAAAAGCCCAAAGCCTTTTCACAGAATCACAGAATTGTTGAGGTAGGACAACATCAAGTCCAACTRTCAGCCCAGCACCAGCACCACATTCACTGTTGACCATGGTCCCAGRTGCCACATCCACRCATTTTTTGAGCWCCTCCAGGGATGGTGACTCYACCACTGCCCTGGACAACCCATACCAGTGCTTGATAATTTCTTTTCATTAAGAAATTTTCCCTAATATCCAACCTAAACCCACTCTGGTGCAACTCCAACAGGCCATTTCCTCTCATCCTGTCATTTKTTACCTGGCAGAAGARCCTGATCCCACCTCACTACAACAGATTGTAATTTTCCATGGTGAAGGACAGGACTGTGTTTGCACTGCAAAGARCTGCCCTACAACCTGTTAACCACAGAACTGCGTTCAAATTGTGTCAAGAAGATTATGATGGCCAGTTAAATGCCAGGATCAGCAGCAGAGATTGCCGAGAATCCAGAAAGAGACAAACATGCCGATAAATTCCACAGAAACAGCACTGACAGTGACAGAGCCCTGGGGTTGGTGGGACCTGAGGCTGCTGTAAATAAAGCAGCGCATTGTGGCAGCACAGATCACTCTCA